AACCAATCGTTCCCGCTATTGATTTTCATAACCACCTGAAGAAGTTAGAAAAGTAGGCAGTGTCCCCATTTTGCAGATGAAAAGCTAAAGCTCAGAACAGGTAAATGATTTGCCCAAAGCCACACAATGAGGAGCCAACATCCCGTTTTTTCACTTTTCATCTGCTACTTTTCTCTGAGCCTGGCTACCTTTCAGACACAGTTTGATGCAAATCCCAGCTGCACCACTTATCACTGTGTGACTTTGGGTAAATGAGTTCACCTCTCTGAGCTTCAGTTTCCTCATCTGTGAAATGGAGAGAATAATTGTACATCATTCTTTTAGGATTGTGGGAAATGAAAAGATATCTTTTAAACAAGAAAATAAGATGGATGTGTTTTTAAAACTAGCATTGTAAGATCATTGAGTGCATAGCTAAGTACTAAATAAATAATAGTCATGGCTGTTTGGGGGCATAGAGACACGGACTAAAAGCCAAGCTCCACTTCTTAGAGTTGTGTGGGCTTTGGAAACTCATTTCTCCTCTCTGGGACTCTGTCCTCATCTGCAAAATGGATATAACCAGAAGACCCACCACATAGGGCTGTTAGGAGCCCTTAACAGAGTGCCTGGCCTATAGAAGGTCCTCAATGCACAGTAGCTAATAATCACGTATGAAGAAATAATTATAACATTCAGTACTGGCAATCTGATAAACAGAAAAGGCCTTGGTGAAGTGCCCAGGCTAAGGACTTTGAAAAAAACCCTTCCACCCATGGAACGGAAAAGCTAAAGGGAGCCAGAGTTCAAAAATGGAAGATGGAGCAGCTGTTTGGGAGCCCCCAGAGGCAATTTCACCTTGACTCCCCCCCCCGGCGCCCGGCGGGGATCTGGGCCACCACCCCCGCAGAATCCCCCTGTCCCCTTACCGCCCCCGCCTCTGACCATTGACCAGTGGGGAAACTGAGGCTCGCCGCCGGTCCCACCAACAGTGTCCCCACACCCTCCTGGGGGGACGGGAAGCGAAAGCCAGTAAACAAATCAACAGCTAGTTGTCCTCGGTAGGCAGTCGCTTGGTGGGGAGGGGGGCCAGTGTGGGGTCAGAGATGGCTCTTCTGAGCAAGTGACATTGGGCTCAGATTGAAGGGTCAGGAGGAAGCAGCCTTGCCAAGCGCTGGCAGGGAAACCTGGCCTGGACAAACACCCCGACGAGGGACGGGGCTGGGGACAGCCAGGCTCCATCACCTTTGCTCAGGCCAGGCCCTTGCCCTCTGCGGGCCTCAGGATTGTCCTCTGTAAAGTGGCAGGGGTAGGGGCTCTTTTTCAATGAGCTGGTGCATGAACGGCCCTCAGCCTGCCCCTGCAAGGAGCAAACTCCCAGAGTCATTGTGCCAAGTGCCATCACCCAGACTGGGCTGTCTCCGCTGTCAGACTATGGGCTTCTAGAAGGCAGAGGCCATGTCTCACTTAGCTCTGCCATCAGACTGAAGTCTGTAAGGACAGGGGTCCACCCCCCATCAGAGACCACAGACATCCAGGGGGCATCTGTCATACTCATCTGGGAGGTGAGTTCTTGCACATGAGAAACCTGCAGGTCGTTTGTTAAGTCAATCAACACACATGGCCTGAGCTTCTACCGTAGAACAGACAGTGCCACAGGCAGTGAGTGGGGCACAGCAGGGAATGAAGCGGAGAGAACCCCCTGCCCCATGTTAGTGCTTGGACTTGTGTCGCTAGGTGACCAAGCAAAAGGGTACAAAAGCCCTTATGAAACTTAAAGGCATCACTTTTCAGCTGACAGATACTTACTGAGCACCTACTATGTGCCAGGCGTCCTTCCAGGCACCAGGAATACAAGGGTGGGTGAAGAGAGCAGACCCCTGCCCTCTCTGAGTTCAGGGGAGACGAACAGCAGACTGGGCAGGATCGCAGCTCGGTGATCACAGGGTTATCCGTGGGTACAAAGGAGGAGTTTCGGGAGCAGTGATGGAGAAATTAACAGGAGGGCAGCCGTTCATCTGGGGGTGCCTGGGAGAGGGCTCTCCCAGCATGCTGACACCGGAGATGAAACGCGAATGATAAGGGCAGGCAGCCGTGCGAAGGGAGAGAGAGAGGAATCTTGGGCAGAAAGATATAAGTGTGTGCACGTGTGCTGGAGTATTCGATGGCTCCCTAGTGCCATCAAAACATGAGCCAAAGTCTCTCTCTTCCCACGAGGCTCGACACAAACTCCCTGTCCTACTTCCCCTCCACAATCCCGCTTCCTCCCCCTTCTCCCTCATTCACTCTGCCCCCGTTGCACCGCCTCTCCCCGCACAGCTTTCATCCACCCCATCCTGTTTTGCTCCAAACACAGCCTCCTCTTCTCTCTGTGTCCCTAGCTCCTCTCAGTTTTCCCAGCTTTTTTTTCTGACATGATTATGTTTATTCGCAGGCTGTTCTATTCCCTGTGTATCTTCCTCACTAGGCTTTGTAGGGACTGAGCCTGTCGTGGTCCCTGCAGGGCTGGTACACAGTAAGTGCTCAATAAATAAACAGGCAGCAAGGCCAGGAAAAGAAACAGCTGATCTGGCTAAAGCCACAATTCGCCGGCCACACTCCCTGCTCGGAAATTCTAAGAAAAGGAGTTGCACGTACAATTGCTCCATGCCAAGAGCTCCTGCTTCCACACTGGTGGGGTCTGTGGGGTCCTGATTCCAACCCTTTCCGGGAGGCATCTTGCCTCCCCTGGGAAGCCCACACCGCCCCTCCCTGGACCAGGAGTCCAAACAGTGGCATCAAGGGCCGGCCCGTGGCTCACTCGGGAGAGTGTGGTGCTGACAACACCAAGGCCACGGGTTCGGATCCCATATAGGGATGGCCGATTAGCTCACTTGGGTCATCTTTTGAAACAAACAGTGGCGTCACTTCCTCATGGTCCACTCCTTTCTACCCATCTCTTCTCCTGGGCTCTGTCTCTTGCCCTAGCCCCTGACCTCCTTAAACTCCATCCTTCTTTTTTGGGGGGGGTGGGATGGAGTAGGCACCTGGCTGGTATGGGGGTCCGAACCCTCGACCTTGGTGTTATAACACTGAGGTCTAACCAGTTGAGCTGACCAGCCAGCCCCCATGGGCCCTCTGGACCCCCATCTGGCAGCTCTGCTCAGAGCAGTCGCCCCCTCTCCTCCATACTCTCCTGACCTAGTGGCCCTTTTTCTTCCCTGAACACAGGGCTCTTTCTTCCATTAGCCTGGTCACCTGAATGTCACCTTGGCCCACGCCTCTGGCTGTCCTGGCTGAGACTCCACGTTCCCCTGGAGAGTTTAGTGACCACCTTCATTAAAGATGGCTCCAAGCTCTGGCTCCGCCCGGGTCCCTACCCTGACGCCCAGCCCTGTGGGTCCAGCCACCAACTGGGCATCTCCCCTGGATGTCCCCCAGACCCCCAGACTCAGCATCTTCCGTAGACCTGCCCACCCTGATACTCCAAGACAGAGCACGAATCTAGCCTCCATTTTCCTGGTCGGCTGCTATGCAACCCTGCCCCCACCCCTGCCATCCCCACAGTCCCCTCCCCAGACCAGCCCCCATCCTCTCTCCCATCTGGACCACAAGCCACCTCCTCCCTCCGAGCAGCTCTCATGAGCTTCGATTTGAGTCTGGTCCTCCTTTACTCAAAATCCTCCCATGGCTCCCTGTTGGCCTAGGCACAAATCCCCAGCTCTTCAGGCTAGCACTGGATGTCCTGCATCGTAAAGCCTGGGCCAGGCCAGCTTTGCCTCCTTCCCCAGGTCACACCCCACCTCTAG